TATCATCCGAAATATGACCACGGACTGTAAACCAACAATGGCCAATGAGAACGACAAAATAAATACTACAAAAGAAGAGATCGCGAAAAGATGCGAAGAATACGAGATTGTGCAAATAACAACACAATTGCATGTATACCGCGTGATTCAGTCAAACAGCAAAAGTCATCCCTCGGAAAAAGAAAAAAAAAAAAGATTTTAAAAATGTTGTTACTGTAAGCATATACTTTAAGATTTTCAAAAATAATTCACGTTGAAAGAAACCTCATTTTCTATCTACTCTGTAATGTTGTGTAGATTGCATTACGTCGCGTAAGCGTTAGAGTAAAGCATATCCTAAGATCATACTCAAAGAAAAAGATTTCCTTAGTTTTTAAACTCGTTTGAATGTTCCATATTATTTATATCATTGTGTCCGATATGTCACGAAAGAGTCACGTCTAACTGGTTTTACATGAAGCAATTTCTACAGATAACTTTTTGTAGAAAATCCACTTTTCATAAAACAAAGAAAATGGAAGGAACACGCTCAAAATGCAAGCAAACATCTAGGAATTATCCAAATGCATCATTACCTTTATTCATTTACGTAGTCTGTATGAAATGACTCACCAGGAATTATTTATTTCCTTCAAAATTATACAAATATAACAAATTTATTTTATATCAAAATTACTTACCAAGTTCGCTGGGATAAGTCATGATTCATATAATCTTATTTCGGTGTTTGTTACGGCGTTGGAGTCAGGATATAGCTCGCCAGAACGCTATTTTACCACTTTTTTAAAATTTGAAGTCGTAGGCTTCCTCTGCCAGTCATGTGCATGATCTTGGCTGTCCGGGTGACGCCGCGTCGAAGTGTTGCCGACGTTTCGACCATCTTGTCGTGGTCTTACCATGTCCATACCATCAGATGTATGGGCATACCAGATGCAAAGTGACGAACGCATAAACCGAGTGTGTGGCTTGCGCCACACACCCGCAAGTACCGCCTCCTCCGTCCGTCCGTCGGCCGCACGACGCCGGGCCTGGCCGTCCCACCACTCTGCGAGAGGGCCCACAACGGGCGGGTGGTTAGGTTAAATATAAAATTCTCTCTCTCTCTCTCTCTCTCTC